TGAGCAGGGCAGAGGATGACTTATGATCCAGTTAGAAACAAAATGTGCTTCTAAATCAGAGTAGCCACAGGGAAAAAAAAATAATTAAAAAAATCAGAATTAGGTGTCCTATGTCCCCAGAAACAAGGCAGCAAGACTTTCACATAAACTGTCTTGTTTTCCACAGGAAGGTGGAAGCTCTGGTTGGATTCAGGCCAGGGTAGCTGTGGAGAACTGAAGCTTCTACCTCACCAAGCTGAGGAGTGGTGTTGCTCCACCAGATGAAAGGCTTTCGTGTTACTTTCCACTGCTGGGTGACGAAGCCCCAGGGAGCACGGTGGGATCGTTTGCAACCATAACAAGTGATGGCACACAGCTTTGGCAAAATGAATCATCTTCCCAGGGTGACTCGTTCCCATCTATTTCCACTCATGCAGTGTTGGCCCTGTGGCATGATGCCATGAGCAATCCCCAGGGAACTGTGGGCATGGGAGAGCACCGGGGCAGGCGGGTGCCCCACGAACCCGGCATGGCCCCACAGCCCACCCATGGGACCTGCTGTTGAGGAACGCCTCGCCATGCCCCATGCAGAGGGCAACTTTAATGACATACAGCTGCCAAAATTCACCCCTCGGGGCAGGGATAAGATCTCAGCTCATACCGATTTGCAAACAGCAGATCTCAGGGAGCACAGGGGTAAATAACACCTCCGGGCACTGCTCTGGGCAGCCGCCCCATCACTCTTCAGTGGCTTCATTGCACAACCTGGGACAAACACAGGAACAAATCCTCCTGACTTTTAAAACATTATAAAGCAAGACCTACTTGCCTGTTAACAACTTTAAATAATACTTTCTTAACTCGACTCAAAGTTAATGCATGTATTACACACATTTTAATTACATCTTTAACTGCTAACAATAAGGGTGTACTTATTGTCACGAAAACCTCCTTATTCAGTGGCTGCAATATCTTTATGGAGGGGTAACTTCAAAGCCTTGTCTAATCGTCATGCATCAAAGCCTTTATTTCAGATTACCGTGTGCTCTCCTATGTCTCAGCTAAGTGGCCTTGTTGAAGAAACTGAAAACATGATGAGGTATATTTTTCCTTGACCCGCTTTAGCGGGCAGGCTTTCATGCTTTAAACCACTACTTGAACAATACTGATGTATTAAGCTGAAAAAGAAAATCCTATCAGAGTCCTGTACCAGCAAAGGAATTATGCCCTGGCAGTAATTTATTAAGTAGAACATGTACCTTCCAGAATTATAAATAAAGATTAAGTAGCAAAGAAGACCCTGTTGATTCAAAACATACCATGTATCTTGCACACCACATATTTTTACCCTCAATCATACCGAATTTGCGGAGGGTCACACCAGGACACATATCGCCATTAGACTGACATCGAAGCCACTTCCCAAATGACCATATTTGGTCTGCAGCCCAATTGTGAACTTTAGCAATACCAAATGGCCTGCGTGCTTTGCTACTTATTAACTTGAAATTCCAGGAGACCGTGATAAAATACTCTGCCCCGTGGCTGTGATAAGGTCACTGAGATCCCAAAGATCATTTTGTTTGCCCAAAGGAATCTACTTTTACAGTGACATTGGTGACTTTGGGGCTGGCCCTTCTTGCTTCTCCCACAGACCTCCCCTTGCCACAGCGGATGTTGACAGAGCTGCAATTTGGGCAAAAATAATAAAAATTAAGAAACACCCAACACCTTAAAGCCTAGCACATTGGAAGGGGAGTGCGTGGGCCCCTTGTCCAGAAAACAGAGCTGTGGTGGCATCTGGGGAGCACCAGCCTGGAGGTGCCAGTCCCCGCACTGCCCCCTCATACCCCACCACCACCCTCTGCCCACACTGCCAGTGCTTCCCCAGAGCCACACACTCCCCTTTGGGGGGACAGGCTTATGGGGATCCTGAACAGGGCAGATGGGACACTCTGACGGGCAGGGGTTCAGACAGGCTGGGCCAGCCTCTGCGCCCTTTGCAGAAGGTGCACAGCAGCGCTGGTGTCCCCAGCAGTGCTAAACCCCCGACCAGCACACAGACACCACGCTTTGCCCACGGGAGGAGAAATAAAGCTTCAGCATTATTTTCAGGCACCAAGCAAAGCCCCAGGGCAACCTCGTGCCCCACAGGTTCTCACCCCCACGAAGCACCCCATGAGTCACGCTGCCCTTCAAGCCCAGAATAGGCTTGCTCTGCCAGAGCAGAAGGGGATGTGGGCTCACCCGCAGTGTCTCCCTGCAACGCTCCCAGAGAGGCACAGGAAATGTCAGAGATCCTCTCAGTCCATTTCTGCCAGCAAAAACAAAGCTGCGGGTGCCCCGTGAAGCGGCTAGGGCTGCAGCCAAAAGGAAGCGGCTGCGCCTGAGGGGAGAGGAGGGACCCCCCCCGTCACTGCCAGACCCTCGTGGCCCCGCTGTCCCATGGGGAACATAAGCAGGCATACGATATGGGGACACATTCCACCCCATCCATCCCCCAGGACCTTCCTGGGAGTGGAAAGATGACAGAGGGCTGAATCGCTGCTCCAGAGGTAGCAATGCACCAGCCACAGCCCCCGTGCATCCAGCGCAGGCTGTCAGCAAATCTTGGCTGAGGGACCCTCAGGAGGAGCAGGCAGGGCCTGGGCAGCACCTACTCACTGCTCTAAGGTCTTGCCCAAGCTGGCTTTAGGCCTTCATTGCCTGCAGCCTCATCGCCTGCCTCTTCTCCCCTGGGAGCAGGGAGAGGCTGAGGAGTGGCTTTATTAGGGAATGTCCTGCAGGTGCTGCTCAGCTGGAGGTGGTGTCCCTCACCCAGCATCATTCAGAGTAGGGGCAAAAACCCAACCCAGGTTGGTTTCACTGGCAGCTTCACTCCCTCTTGTGCAAGACCATGACAGCCCTGAACTGGCAGGGTTTGCGAGCCCGCATCGAACGGGTTTTATGGCGTGACAAGGAGCAAAGAGTACCCGCACAGAAAGTGAAGTAAACAGAGATAAAGTGGTGCAAGAAAGGAGCGTGAGCTCCCCGTGTCCCCCCAGCAGGTCGCCTCCCTGCTGCCTGTCCCTGCAGAGGGTGGCTCTGCCTGTCTTGCTGATAATGCCTGAGGTAGAGGGGAAAGGGGAGGCTGATAAGTGAGCAGTCCTGGGGACAAACACGGCATCGACGAAGGTGGGTCCCTGTGGTTCAGGGTTAAAGCCCTCACAGGCACCACAACAAACATTTGCTTTTTGACGACAGGGTAGCCAAAGCGAGCCTGGTTTGCGGGGCAGTTCTGAGTTTTGATGACTCTGACCCCGAGGCTGCAGCTGCTGTTGCAAGTCCTTGGCTCATGCTGCACTTTTAGCAAGGTCAGGTGGGAGATTTACAACCCCTAAAGCTGCCGTTTTCCATCCCTCTTTATTAGTTTCCTCCAGAGCCTGTCCTGCCCGAGGCTGGCTCATTAGAGACCCAGCGGAGAGAAAGCACCATACAACCACTGTTATTTCAGAGGGTCGCACGCCTGCTCCCCAAGTAGCTGTGTTCATTAGCAAGCACCAGGACAGCATGGCAGCACCCCCCTCGCTAGCAACAAATTGCTCCAAATCCTTGTCTAGCCAAAATGGATTGTGGTGCCTGTTCCCATGCTCACAGCATGCACCCTGGAGAGCCCCAGCTGCCTCCCCAGCAAGACTGGGATCTCACTGCAGTCTGCTCTGCTGTATTTTTGGTAGCCCCCCATGCACCGTGTTTTGTGTCAGCTCCATCTGACCCTGTTTAGTTGATTTAGACAGGGTCAGGAGCCATGCACTGGTGCTTCTGAATGTGGATCTGCACGGGCGGCCGTGCAGGCAGGGCAGCGGGGTGCAAGCAGCCTTAATGGCTGTTCTCAGGAAAAGGAGAGAGGTTGTGAAAGCACCCTGTAAGCACAGGGATAAAAATCCAAGACACTTGAAGACACCATTTAGCCTGACTTCTCGTTATACCTCCTGCCATTATACCCGATCAGGGGCTGACAAATGCATCTCCAGCCGAGGGCTGGCACACAGCAGACGAGGAAGGGAGGGCAGGGGGATGGTTTCCCTGCAAAAGCCACCTGAGCTGCAGTATCCTCACTCGAGTGTCCTCTTGGCCAAACTCATGTGTCCCCTTCCACCACACGGCACGAGACAGACCTGCATGCACCTCGGGTCACCAGCCCGAGACTGCTGTGCTGGGGACACTTGGCCAGGAGTCTGGGGGGCAGCGCTGGGGGCATCACATATCTTCTCCAAGGCTGGACCACAGTGGCTGAGCCAGCAGGCCCTGTTAACTGTGGGCAAATGAATGTGGCCGTCCTGCAGCAACCGTCCCGCGGCAGGGCATGTCACAGCTCTGGGTGAAGGGAGAAGTGAAGTGGGTAAAAGCACGTGGCATGGAGCGCTGGAAGGTTTATCACTTTCTCACAGCATGACTTTCCCCCCAAGGCAAAAGCAGAACAAAACATGGACATGGTCAAAACCTCTGTGTCCAGGGTGTCCCACCACCATTGCTTTTCACTGGGGTTTCTTGTGCCCACCACCGCTGCCCTCCAGAAACCCCTCTCTCCCCACCACTGCTTCCCAGACCCTTTCACCATCTGCCCATCCAGCTCCTGGTCCTGCAGGCTCTTAACCTCTCACCTGGGGTGGCCCAGGGAGCACGGTCCTGGCCCGGCACTGCCTGAAGTGGTCCCGGCTGGTGCCCAGGCATGGCAGGCAGCCCACAGTGGGTGCCTCCCTGCTGGGGTCTGGCGGAGCAGTTGATCCTCCAGAATGGAGAGGTCGGCTCAGAAGAGCTGGTTTTCCCCCAGGGCAGAAGTTCAAATTCTCTGTGCTGCTTCATGCTGGGAGATGGAAGTGAGGGAAAGGAGGAAACGGTGATTCCTGTTCATGTTCGTGATCGACACAGCTGACTGCTCAGTTTGACCTCCCAACTGGCCACAGAGGGACGGATGCACAAACACACACACACACACACATATATATTTATAGCCACACTTGCAGCAACTCATTTTGTCCAAGTCCCTGAAGATGTTGCTCTTCATCTTGCTTTCGCTCTTCAATTTCAACCCATCTCTGAGCCTAAAAATCTGCTCCTTCAATGTGAGGTCTTTTGGAGAAACAAAAATAGCCAGACCTGAAGTTGTTGATGCCGTGGTAAAGGTATGTTTGTTTGCCTGGATGAGACAGACATTGAACCATCCGAGGATTTCTTAGCTACATGATCTTGCACTTTATTTATTTTTCACAGTTGAATTTCAAGTAAAAAAAAAAAAGAGTTAATAATTTAAATCATTTTATACTCTTAAAGTAAAAATCAGCCTGTGGTTGAGTAGGGTGTTTGCTGTTATTTTAGCCTGCATGGGAATACAACAGAAACAACATTTGCTGTTTCCTTTAGAAATGGAGTTAGGAAAGGAGGAAAACCTCTGTGCACAGTAAAATTAGTTTTCACTTTGAATCCACAGAGCTTTGTTTTGTGATACATTATTTACCTTGCTTATGTGCTAATTATTCTGAAATATTCTTGTCTAATTAAACATATTCTCAGGACAGCAGAGAGCATCATATTAGAGTGTGGTACAAAATTGAAAAGCCTGATTGCTAATTTATGTAAATAAACCCTCAACATCAGGCTTCCTCTGCAGCAGCTGAAGATAACTCAGCTTTTAAAAAAGAACCATGTTTTGGACTTAGAGCTTTTGCAGCTCCCCTCCGAGATGCCACAGTAATGGAGGACATGGTGCTCAGTGTTAGCGGGATGGCTGCGTGTGCCAAACAGCAGCAGCGAGGAATGCCACTGTTTAGTTGGGCTTTAATCCTTTCGTTGCAAACAGCTGGAGGAGAGGGGTTTGCTGGAGTTCGCATTTCTGGATCATTCTTCCTATACTGTCAGCACTATGGGCAATATATACTAAATTATGGGCAATATATTAATTTCTTATAAGTCTCAGGGGGCAAAGAGGGGCTTTTTTCCATGAATATCACCTGCAAAGTTCAAAGAACAACAAAACCGGGGGCAGATGGAAGCCCCTGAGCACGCTGGGCTGCAGGGTGAGCCTGGCTTTCCCGTGGGGAATCCCAGGACCGGCAGTGGCAGCTGAGCCGGGCTGGGGCAGCCTCCCCCCTCTCCCCAGCACCCTGCGGCTCCTCTGCAGTGCTGCAGCCCACCGGTGCCGGGACCCTGTTTTCAGTCCGGGGGTCACTTTGGGCTCTACAGGCTATTTCAGAGGGGTCTGCAACAGATGACTGGGAGAGGCGAATGCTGACAGCACACACAGCTGTCAGAAGGCACAGCATAGCTATAGGACCTTAGGGGTATATACACCAGAAAAAGGATGGAAACCATTGCAGTGGATTGATGATAGATGCAAACAGGCTCTCCTTGATGTCCCCCAAATCCTCCTGCCACATCCATCTGGCCACCCAGTGAGGTGGGATGCTTGTGCGCAGCACCGGTCCGAAGCAGAGAAGAAAACCTACGTGGCAAGGGGCAGGGAGGAGAGAAAAGCACGACTGACCATGAGGTGGGGTGGGGGGCCAGGGGCAGAACCCCAGCAGTGGTAGAGGGAGAGCAGGCTTGCAGCAGTGGCTCTCGCTGTCCCTTCACCTCCACGCTTCCTCCTCAGGGGCAGGCACAGAAGTTTTTCAATAAACCCGAAACTGCTCTGCTCTCAAGTTCCCTCTCCCAGCTCCCATGCAGGCGTGAGGCAGCTCTGAAAGTAGAAGGGCTTTGCTCTGGCCGCTGCCCCCCTCCCACAACCCCAGGCTGGGCACCGCTTCTTCCACAAAGGACTTCCCCTGCACCAGTAACCACTTCTTTCTAACCTCTTTCTAATCCTCCAAAACCCACTGCGTGCAAACTTGCTTCTGCTCCTTCCCCTTGCAGATAATTTCTCGCTGTGACATCATGTTGCTGATGGAAATAAAGGAGAACAAGAACCGGGTTTGTCCTCTCCTGGTGGAGAAGCTCACCAGGTAGGCTGGCCACAGGCAAGTAGGCAAATATCGGGAAAGATGCTTGACAAGAGCCCGTGCTCTGCTCAGCGCTGCTTTACTGGGGCGGAAGCTCAAGGTCTGAGCTCTGTCCCAGCCGTTGAGGAAGGACCAGGCTCTGGCAGCCTCACTGAAGGCCAGGAACAAAGCCAGCTCCAGACCACTGTAGGACACTTTTTAAAATCAAAATAACCAAGTTAGATCCAATTTGTTAAAGATAATTCTCAAAAGAAAAGAAAAGGGAGGGACAGGCCCTCGCCTGGTTAGCACCGGGCTGCTGCAGGGCAGCTGCCTTTCTGCAGGGTTAGGAATTGCTTTAGACTGGAGATTGCCTGCCTGGACTGACAGTCCAGAGGAAAGAGCAGCGTACGTCTGGCTGGACGTGAGGCTGAGCTGAAAGAGAGACAGAGGCTGTAATAAGCAGGGAGGATGTAGAGTGAAAGAGCCAGCGATGGAGCACAGGTCCAGACCACAGGTCCTGAGAAGATTTTTTTGTCTCTACCATCCGCCTTGGAGGTCAGGCAGGCAATGTCCCCTACCATCGGGCACAGGCAAAATTATCCCCTCCTTGGCCCTTTGTGAATGCAGAAATAAACTCAGGAAAACCACCTTCCTTCCAGTCAGCTGAAGGGGCCGAAGGAGGAATACAGCTGCGTGGTCAGCGAGAGGCTGGGAAGGAAGAGCTACAAGGAGCAGTATGCCTTCATCTACAGGTGAGCGAGCTCCCCTCACCAACGAGCCAGCCCCTTACTCTGCCCTCCTGCATTGCAACCCTGTAGAGACAGGCTGGACATGGTGGTGATGGCTTTGCTCCAAGGGAGCAGGAGAGGTGCAGGCTGTGTGGGTGGGATGGGCTGTGCCTGGGCATGGGGATCGTCCCAGCCACAGCCACCAGCCTGGCTGTATCCATCCTGGACCATGGCCCAGGGTCCGGGTCAGAGCACGGAGTCAGTGTTAGACACATCCCGGTGAGCCATGAGTGTGACATTACCTATCCTGTTTATTCTGCTGCAGGCAACATCTGGTATCGGTGAAACAAACCTACCAGTACCCTGACACCCAGCCTGGCGACGAGGATGCCTTCTCCAGAGAGCCCTTTGCCATCTGGTTCAGGTCTCCAAAAACTGGTGAGATGTTTCAGAAACAAATTGTTCTCCCATTGGCAAGTCTCATGGAGCAAGACGGTGCCGGTTGGACCCAAGCACATGGTGGGGGCAGGCGAAAGGGGCCACATCCTGACCCCACGCTGCATTTCCTTACAAAAGCAGCATTTGCCTTTTGGGCTGCTGCCTCCAGCATTGCCCACAGCTTGGTGCACGCCGCAGCCCTGTGGCCAGCAGCCCCAGGAAAGCCTCTGCCGCCGCCACGGGCAGTGGTTTAGTGGATGCACTCCATGCGGGAGCAGCTATTGCCGTGGGTGTCAGAGCAGGGTTTGCCTGACACAGCACCTCACCAGCATTGGCTGGGCAGCTGATGGAGAGCACTGTGCAATTACACAGCAAATGCCTCTCTCTGATCCACAGCCAGAACAGAAGCTGCTTCTTCATCAGAAAAACCTTCTTGCTTCCAAGTCAATCTCTGTTTCTTTGTGATTCAGTGTATGTTTAACTGTTACATTTTTTCCTGTTCTTTTGCCTTGTTTTTAAGCTGTCAAAGAGTTTGCTATAATCCCTCTGCACACCACACCAGAGACAGCAGTACGGGAGATTGATGAGCTCTATGATGTGTATTTAGATGTAAAACAGCGCTGGAAAATCGAGGTTAGCTGACACATCTATGTTACTAACAGCGGCTTTGGTACCGAGTCACCTGGCATGTTATTTGCAGCCTGATAACCTTAAAACTGTTGATAACAAGCCCCAGATTTTGAGTATCTCTGATGTATTTTTATTGAGTTCTCCACATTTTAATCGGTAAACTTGATCGCCCAATAAAACTGCTGTTTTATCAGCATGCTTCGGTGGTGCACCCAGCAGAAAGGAGAAGCCCCACTGCACTCAATGAGTGCTTGTTATTTGAGCTGTATGGGCTATTGGGAGCATCTGTTGACCCTAGAAGTCCTTGTCGGTCTTCTTTTGAAGAGCTGTCCTCATGATTACTTTTGAAAACCCTCCTACCTTCCAGAACTTCATCTTCATGGGGGACTTTAATGCTGGATGTAGCTACGTTCCCCAAAAGCAGTGGAAGAACATCCGGCTGAGGACTTACTCCGAATTTGTCTGGCTAATCGGCGACAAAAATGACACGACTGTGAAGAGAAGCACAAGCTGCCCGTATGACAGGTAAAGGGTTTACTGCCAAATCGTTCCCTGTGTATGACTTTCTAAGAAAAAAAAATGTATGGAAAGGTGTCAGTGACTGTCAGATAAAGCAAATGTGCACGAGGCCTTCAAAGATAAAACAGTGTCCAGGGGAAATGAGATCTGAATACTTCTAGTCAGGAGCACAAAGCACATTGCAGGCTTGTTGGCAAGCAGTTTTGCACAAAGGGCAAGATTTCATGCAAGAACCAGCCATTGCTGTGGCTGAGGTGGAGACAAATGACAGGAGATAAATGACAGGCAATTACAACAGCACTTCTCGTCTGCAGAGCCCTGCAGATACCCACGCGGAAGGCGCTGTTGCCTCCTCCGTGCTGGCTTTGCGCCATGGTTTTTGCTCTTGCATTCATAATTTGGATCGACAAATGCAAAATCCAGTTCTGCTCAGGAGGTGGGACGCCTTGCCTTCCCTGGGCACGTGGTGAGTTCTGTTGCTACCTGCAGCTCCCTCAGCAGGGACAATAAATACATCAGCGTATTAGAGCCCAGAGTAAGTCAAGATTTAAACCTCTTGCAGAATGAGCTTCTGGATCAAAGCAGGACTTCACTGAGACTCCAGTCACTGGTGTCCTATGATTTTTGTATCCAAAGTATGGCTTTGAACTTTGCAGCACTGTTGGGGTGGGTTTAGATACAAGTCATTTAACGTTGGCTTCCAAGGCCAACACACGCCAAGGTATTTAGGTGTCTCACTCCCAAGAAAGCAATCAGCCAAACTCAGTAGAAAGCACGTGATGGCATCTCTAAGTAGGCAGCCTATGGGAAAGGACAAACCATACATAGCTGTGACTCCATCAAGGCCACCTCTCTGGCCACTGGCTTGGTGCAGCATTGCTGCCACTGGTCGGGCACCCCATAACAGCACCCCGTTCCCTTGTTCCTTGCAGGATCGTGGTCAGCGGGCAGAAGCTCATCCACGCCATCGTGCCACACACTGTCAACATCTTTGATTTCCAGAAGGACTTTCAGATGACTGAGGAGCAGGTAGGCACAGCATGGCCTCTGCCGCAGTGGGGCAAGGGCTAACACGGGAGCGCAAAGCCAATGGTATCCAGGCAGTTTTGAACACGGTGGTCTCCATAAAACCGTTGCATCCTCCCAAAGTGATGCAATGCTTGCATTGCACCTCTCCACATCCACCACTGCACATCCACCTCTCTGCCACTGCGGTGAAACCCTCTGGGGCAGGGTTTGGAAAGAGCACGGGTGGCCGGCTCCCAACCCCTCTGTGCCATTGTCTTGCAGGCGCTGGGGGTGAGCGACCACTTCCCTGTAGAGTTTGAGTTAAAAACAAGAGACGGCTTCTTCAACTGGCTGAAATCGCGGTTTTCAAAGAAGAGGAGACCAAGAAAGAGCCGCCACTTGAGCTCATGAGTGTGCTGAGTCCTCTCACGTGGCATGGAAATACACAGATGCCAGCAGATCTTGTAGAAGACTAGTGTAGATATACTGACAGCAAGTGCAATATTTAGTGGAAAAAAAACCCAAATATTTTGTTAAACTTCAAATATTTTGGGTCAGAAGGTGAATTAAAACTTCAGGCTATTTTCCTTATTGTACGCGAAAATAAATCAACTAGAAGCAGCACACTAGACTTACGTACTGATCCTAAATGTAAAGAGCTACTGCAAAAATAAAATACTTCTGTGTGCTTTATCTGTACGGACTGAAGGGCAGGGATCTCCATGCGTTCACACGGGCTCTGGAGCGCTGCCATTCCTCTGCAGGGGCAGAGGGATTAAAAGGACCTTTCTGCATCGTGCATGTGTGTGTGGATGCTTCAGAGCTGCAACCGGTGGGACACAGTTCTGTGCTTGGTGATTTGCAATGTAAAATGTTGCTGAACTTAGAGTGTTTGCTCAGCCTGGGTTTGAAACTGCTCACAGCATCAAGGGCTTGGGGGAAGACAGACAGAAAAGCCAGAGGGACAGGCAGTGAGAGCCCCTTTTCCGCACTAACCCAACCAGGGAGCAGCAGGAACAGAGCACTGGTGGTTCCCACACCTGCCTGCCTGCCAGCTGCCATCACCCTGCCTGCAAACCGCGGGTGAGAAGTCCTGCTGATCCCAGGTGACAGCGCTGCCAACAGAGAGCATGAGTAAAACATAAATTAAAATCTGATTTCAGCAACCTGATGTGGAAGTGAGCTGCATCTCCCCTCCAAAAAAACCTCCATGGCAGCCTAGAGTTCTCTGATGAACCAGACTTTAAGGATGATTATTTAACATATTGGTGCAGCAATCTGTTTTCTCAGCTCAGCCCACAGGCTGTTTTTAGTGCAAACCAAACCCTGTCACACAGATGGCATCTGAAAAAATGGGAATAATCCAACTGTTAGTAGAGGCCAATATTCATCTCTGTTCATCAACGACCCCTGGGTTGTCTGATGACGGGGCAGGGAGGGCTAGCAAACGATACATGCTTTTAGGGGAGGAACATAGTTTGGCCTTTGCGAAACTCACTGTCTGGGGAGAAGCAATTTGAGGAAAGAAACTAAACCGAGAGGAGATTATCCCAAGGGGGAGGTGTGCAGGGCAGACAACAAACTCCCCAACTTTCTGTAGCAATTAATCTTGAAACAATACAGCATTTCATAAGCTCCCTCGGTTATACTCCAGCCGAGGCAAAAGGAGAGAAAGAGCCTGATTTAGAACAAATATTTACATTGGGATTTTTATAGAAATGCCACTCTCTGGCTGACAGCAGCAATGGTCCATGTGAAGGCTGAAATCAGTCTAAGTCTCTGGCCTCACATCTTAGTCCTACGTAAGTCCCTACTCTTTTTTGGCTTTCAGAAAGAAGCAATGCACAAAGGAATAAAACACACTCCAGGAAAGCAACGATGGATACGTTCAATCATGAAAAATACATAAAAATGACTAAGTTTTACTGAAAAAGCTTTGTCCTTATTTGCAACATCGAATATAATCCTTTACCCAGCATCTGAAGATAAGACACGTGGCCAGAGAGCAGCTGCTGCAGCGGCTGCAGCCTCAGGCATGATGTTAGCAGCTGTCAGTCTGGAGATGCTATTGCAGAGAGGCTGAGCATTTGACTGGCAGAGAGACATCTTAATGCAAAATGATGCTTCTCCATGGAGAGCTGGGATGCACTTTTGTGGGACTCAAAGCAAACAGACAGCATCTGCACTCAGTTCGTAACGTTTGAAAGGGGCTGGGAGGTATCCAAAGCTCATACAGTCAGCACAGTCGGTCTCTATAGATATTCCTGTGTATATTCCATACATTCATTAGACAATACTGTAAATACATCCTAAAATGTTTAACACTTTATGTCTTCTCTAGATTTTCCCCACTGTGGGTTCGTTACCCAGTTGTCCCAACTGCAAAGGGGTTTTTCAGTTGTTCCAGCCCGCAGGAGCCTTGATGTATTCTGCAGCCAGAACAAGGTTTCTCTTTAGATGAATGAGACTTCTTGAGCTTTATTTATGATCAAACAGGAGTTTTACATTGGGAATCCAAAATGGCCTGGAAAGACTTTGTCTCATACAAGCCAGGTCTCAGATCATGGCTGGGAGAGAAACAAAGAGCCTCTTCAGAAGCTGAAAACTCTGTTTCCTCCACAGCAGCCCTGGCCAGGTGAGAACAGAGAGCAGATAGGGTCCAGCCTAACAAAAAGTGCTGAGACCCCCCAATCCCTCAGGTTTGAGTCCTTGGGAAGCCCTTCTCCAATGCAGGATGCTGGAGGCATCCTCATTTCCCACAGACCTGAGGTCTCCACCGCCGCACAGAGACCCCCCTCCACAGCCCCACGGGATGTCCCTGCTGCCCTGCACCGGGGATGGAGCCAGGGCTGCCTCTTGCCCTGCAGAAACCCACACAAGTATGGTTTTTGCTGCCCTGGGGGAGTGAGTCCCTTGGCAGGGAAACTCCCAGGAACCCACAGCAGCAGCCTGAGGCAGGACTGCCATTTCTCCATAGCCTCCATCATCTCCACTGGCTAGGTTTGTCCATCTGCACCTTGGACTCATCTGAACAGGGCTTGTGTGCTCTTCCTGGCCTCGGCACTGCTCCCCACTCACCCCTGAGCGCCCTGACACCTCTCTGTCTGTGCCACAGGGCAAGAGACCCTTTGGCCCTGGGCGAGGCTCTATGTATCTCCTTTTGCCTCCTTTTAGGTACTGGCAGCAATGAGGACACAGGAGAGCTGGTACAAAATCCCACAGGGACCCACCTGGCTTGTTCATTCCGGGCCTGTATATCCCCAAACACAGACCAATGCAGCATGCACTGTGGTTGAACATGCGGCACTAGGGGAACATTAAGAAATTATATATAAACCACCATCAATCTGACAGACATTCTGGGCTGTGCTGTTTAACAAACTGCACGGGACAAGAGGTCAACAAGACTGGGGACTGTCCCCTTTCTGCATCAGGGCAAGTATCCCCAGCTCTGAAGCCCTTTGGCATGGCAATACCCATGTGCAGCCCAGCCTGTCTTATTTGAGTTTACATCCACATTTGTTTAACTTGTGCACAAATACACACAAACATGAGAAATTCAAGCCTGAACACCCTCCAAAGCTCCCGCTGCTTCCCCGCCACATGGGCAATAGGCAAACAGAAGCAGGTGCCAAAGCTGCCACTGATGGGGTTTGGGCTGGCACCCATATGCATCTTGTGTCTGGACATACAGATGTACACATGTACAGATGTATGGCCACATACAGACATGCAGCAAGCAATTGAGCTGCAGCCCCAAGAAAAGCTGTGTTGCGTTATCGTACACCAGGGCCGATAGCACTGATAGCAATATCAAAGGCAGAAAAATCAAAGAGCCTACTGGTATGGGACTGCCGAAACCAGCAGTTGGTCCAAGGCTGGCTGCTTCACGGCTCCCTCGGTGTCTGGAGGGATCACAGGGAGCAGCTCAGTGCCCCAGGTTGGACTTGGCCACTCACCGATGGAGCATCTGCTGCAGAAAAGGACCAAGAGTGGAGCAGGGGCTCCCTGGGCGCTGCTCACATGGCACCCACAGGGAGCTTGTTTTCAGTCTCCCTGTAGCACAGTGCTCAGTGGTCCCTAGTGGGGCTTTTCTCTGCCGAGCAAGCCAAGGAGATGGAGAGCAGAAGGTGCAGAGAGCAGTCATCTTTTCCCTGCCTTTATTCGAAAAGGAAAACAAATAGAACGTTCACATTTTTTTCTTCACCTATAGGTCATTAAAAATATTTCCACAACCTCTGTCAGCCCCTTGCCCAGGATAATGCAGGTTTCTCCTTTCTGCGAGGGCATCTTGCCACCGCGCGATGCAGAGCCGTGCATGCATTAAATATTATTAGGGCACCCTCTGGTGGCACCGCTATAAATCCCAGCACCTGGGGGGGTGTCCTGCAGTATTTAGACCCAGAAGCCGCAGCACAGCCGGCAAACCCACCTGCAGTAAGGAAACACGATTGCATCCTTAGAAAGGAGCCCGTAGATCTGCATCCCTGTGTGTGCCTCTACACACACCTTTTCAATTCACTGTCGAGAGCTGGCCTGCCGCTGACCCCAAAGCGTCCCTGTCTCACTGCATCTGTAAATGAGTTTTGCAACAAAACGGTAGCACGTTTTTTGGCTCCAGGCCTTTTTGTTCATTGCCCACAGTTATTTAACTAGGAAACACAATGCGACGACCTTTACAAGACTGCCCCGCTTGCAGGCAGTGGCTTCTAGGACCGGGTGCTGGCAGGTTACAGGGCACATCCACCCCAGGGGACTCCTTGGTGTACCTTGCCATGCCTGCACCAAGAGCATCAGGGTGGCTGGTTTAGTTCAGCAGCGAGCACAGGCTTTCCAGCCTGCCTGGTCCCTTGGGATGTCTTTCAGTGTCTCCGCTTTTGCCCTTTGGCAGTTTGTACCTGGTTTTGGGAGCGATGTGAGGCCGCTCCGGCACGAGCGCCACCATCCCCTCTCTGCCATCCCTGCCTGGGGCAGATGCTGACGACCCCATCTCCGGTGCTGGGGGAAACTGCAATATGGATCAGGGGCTCTTTCTGCAAGCCCGGGGCCGCGTTTAGCCCACGTTCCTCTCCACCATTCCGAGGGTTAAGCGACACCACCTCTCCACTATCACCTGGTATAAAACTATGAACATCCTCTCTATGCAGTCTGGTTTTCTAGCCAGTGTGAAAAACAAGGTTAAATACTTCATGTGTCATTTTAAATAGAGTGCCTTAGCTGTCGGTGTTTGCAGGGTATTTTCTGTTAGTCAGGAGACAGATTTATGGGAATTAATTTCCATATTGGCAAAGGAACCAGAAACTTTCCCTGAAAAGCTCTGCAAATGCTGGCATTTGAGACATGACCGCTTTCTGTGCGTCTCAGTTGGGAGGGGGGGCCTGACCCCAGCCATTTTCTGTGAAGCCAGATGCAAAATTCCACCCCCCCCACCCCCAAAAAAATACCCTAGCAGAACATCACTGTCAGAAAGAAACACCCTCCCAGCAAGGCCAGCTCCTCCACGGGGCTCGAAGGATTCACAGGCTTCCAGCTAAGCACAGATGTAAATATTTACAGTACCAAGGTCCTGCAGAAAGGCAGTTCATCACAGGAAAGAGCTGTCACCATACCTCTGGGTCCTGCTAAATCATACTTTGCCT